CCCTCCCAGTGCACCAGGATGAACTTCTGCCTGGACTAGCAGCAATAGTGAAATGTCTGATTGGAAGAGCTGGACTCTCTAATTCCATTTTAAGTTCTGTTCACCATGATTTAAATAAAACCAGTTGCCTAACACTATGGCTCAAATTTCAGTTGCCGCAGTATGTTAACTGTTAATAATTGTATGGTGCACCAACTTTACTACTAGCCCTTCAGCTCATGAATCACTATGGAAACAACAAATGCACACATAACCAGGGACTAATCACATTTATTTCCAAGTTTGCTGGTGACTGTCATTTTCTTCTGAGCAAAGACAACAAACCACGAAGCTGTGTTATCTCTTTATGTCCCAGTAATAAATAAATGTGACACCTTACACAAATGAATACTAGGATGGGAACTAGGCAACAAAGACAAAAGTATAGAAAACTGGCAGTGCTAGAACTGACATTTTAATTTTGTTATGGTTCATGTCTAGATGTCCCCTAAAGCCTCATGCAGTCATGGGGAGCAGGCTTTTTCACAGGTAGCCGAATCTAGAGTTTGTGACTGATTTATAGTGCAACGCTGGGATGAAGGGTGCTGGGATTAAGGCCGGGGGATTGCTGGATCAGTCCACTGATTGGACTGGAACCGCCCCACACCCAGAAGTCTGGATAAGATAAAAGGGGCAGGAAGAGGCTTGTTTCCCCCTTTTGCTCTTGCTGCCTTTGCTGTCTTCTGCTGCCCCAGCTGCCATGAAGAGTTGTCCCTTTGCCACGTGCTACCCTGCCTTGGAGCCAGCTGATTATGGACTGAAACCTCCACAAAATGTGAGCTAAATGAACATTTCCTCCCTTAACTTTGGGCATCAGGTATTTTGTCTCAGCAATGAGAGAAAAGTAACTAAAACAGATTTAATACAAAAGATGCTTTAGAAGAAATAACTGACTGTGGGCCTCACTGATGCTGGTGCTGCTTGACAGACTGTAGATCTGACATAGAAGAACTTGGTAGTGTGAAGACATCGCCAAATGAGAAAAGGGAGAAGGAGAAAGCTATGCCCAATGAAGGGACACAGCGAAGTCCTCACAATAAGGGACCTGTCAGAGACAGTCCCAGTGGTGAAATCTCAAAGTTGATCAAACTTTGATTGAGTAGCAGTTTGCCACGGCAATAGAGGATACTTCAAGTTGTGTGGCAAGAAGGGAAGCACTGTTCAAAATACTCTCAGTGAGTTTAGGGAAGGACAGAAAAACCACCCAGATGTTTCCAATGTTTTAAATTACCACATGCTAAATAAATATTAGTTTTCTGTTTTTACCACCTTGTATGTTTGTAACTAACAATTACAGTGTTTTAAGAACACTTTGACAAAAATGTTTAAAGGTCAGAAGATGATCTTGTAAAAGATACACCTGTGCTTAATGTATTGCAGCTTTTTCTTTTTTCTTTTTTTTTTTGACTTTGACTCCAAATCTTTCAGCATTAAAGGTGCTACCAGGAGATCAACAGCTTTACTCTACAAGGCCCTTGCACAACGTTTTTGCCTTGAGCCAGCAGGGTATGGACTGAATCGTCTGAGCTATGAGCCAGATTAAACCTCTCTTCCTTAAAATTATGGGTGTCAAGTACTGTGTTCAGCAATGAGAATGCTGACTAACACATTTTCTATAAGGGTTCCAAGTCACTGGAACCCAAGACATAGCCTAACCTTATTTCACATGCTACATCTTTCTGCAGTGGCAAACAGAAACACCAAAATGACCCAGAATTTGGAGGCACAATTATTTTATATCAGCAGGCACCAACAAGGAACCAAATTCTTATAAAAATTTCAGATCCCTAAAGCTTAGGGAGGAAAGTTTTCATGGTGTTGCAAGCAAGAAACAGCACCTGCCTGGCAAGCGCAATGTCCTGAGTTCAATTCCCAGTAACCCCTCTACAAGAGAAATAGAGTACTTAGCTGTCTTTGATTGCTTCTTACAATATTCATCACAGTGTCAGCTACACATTACAATGACCAGCTGTTTCTAGGAGACAGTAGTAACAGGAACTATAACAGGAACTATTACCTGGGCAACTAATAGCCTAGCTGGGAAGCATTTTCTGCTACACTATCACAAATCACATCTTATTACATGGTGTTACTATAGTAAGTAGGTAGTTACTCCATTGCAGGCAGTCTTATGGGGTAAAAATAGAAAACAAAACTAATATTTCTTGTGCTGAGCAGCACTGGATAGAGTCAAGAAATGGCCCTCTGACCAATACCCCTCCACAAACTTGGTCTCTCTCTCTTTCTCTCTCTCTTTCTCACTGAGCTACATCCCCAGCCCTTAAAAAATTTTTTTTGGAGACCAGGTCTCAGAGCTAAGCCCAGGGCAGGCTTATGTTTTCAACCCTCCTGCCTCTCTCTCTTAGGATGCTGGGATTACAGGTGTGCACCGCCACACTGGACTCACAGCTGTTTCTGTTCCCTTGCCTTGCTGATGGATGGCACCTTTAGCAGATTCTATAGTCTCCAGTTCACCTCAGGCTGTGAGAAGTTGTCTTATTTACTTTTTCTCATTACTGCTGCAAAATACCCAACACCCAGAGTTAAGAGGGGAGAGGTTTATTGTAGCTCACCAAAATGGTTGCCTTTCTATTTACTTGCTGGGTACTTAAGTTTGTTCTCGGGTTCTAATCAATAGTTTTCTCTTCTTTAACTGTCTTATGTTCAAGGTTGTGAATATCTTTCATTTTGTCAACATTGCATTAGCAAGATGCTTGACTTTTCTTGTGAGCGTATTTTAAGTCTTTACCCATAATTTGCTCTGTAGATTTATTTTCTGTTAAAGCTCTGAATGTTTTTTTCCCCACTCAGTGAAGACTTCGTGGATTTTTATTTGCTTGTTTATTTTTATTTTGATGTTTTGTGTTTTGTTTGTGAGTTTTGTTTGTACTGTCATTGAAGCCAGGGCTCTGACATGATGAGCATGTACTGTACAACTCAGCTACACCTCCAGTCCTCTTGTTGTATTTGTGCTTCTTTCTTTTCTGTATACCATGGTCAACAAGTACCAGTGTGTATATCTGAATCCTTTTAAGGCTCTCACAGATCAGTACAGATTTAGTCTTCCACTTATTGTTGATTTTGGGTTACAGTTCATAATTAATGGTATGTTAGTGTGTTACACTACCATACTAAAGTAAATATTAACACTTATAAGACTTCTGTGTATGTTTACAATAGGAAGTGTTTGTCTGCCATACGCTGCATAACATTTTCTTCATATAACTTAATTAACATTAAAGATTTACTTTAATACTTTCAAATAATTTTATGTTGAAATAAAAGAGGATATCATCATTTATAGATTTCTTTCCTTTATATGACAATACACAATATCTGTTTGCAAATGTGATGTTTTTGCTCTCTAAAAATTTTATGCAGCCTCTTAGTTATTTTTCTCATTGCTGAGGCAAAATACCCAATGCCCAAAGTCAAAGGAGTAAAGGTTTATTTTGACTCACAGTTTGTAGAGGTTTCAGTTCACAGTTGTCTGGCTCCACAGCAGGGTGGCATTCCAGAGGAGCATCACAGAGGATAAATAGTCCATGGCAAAGGAGGACAAGCAGAAGGCAGCAAGACACAAGCAAGTTACAAGGTATAAGCAGTCCTCTTTCTGTCCCTCACACCCTTAATCCTAGCATCACACAGTACATATCCTTGATCCCAGCATTACACATTCTAGATCCAACCATCTTTGAAAAGCCCCATCTATGACCACATGAGGGGACATCTAGACACAAACCATTACAGAGGTGTCACATTTTGGATATTAAAAGTCCAGTGCCTAACACAGAACTTGAGCCTGATGCCTAGCTTCACCTCTTCTTCTGTGGCTCCTTCTGGCAGGTTCAGGAAGAGGTAGCAGGGCCAGTGTGGCAGTGGTGTGATCCACACCTTCACTAATTCCCTTCTCTGGTCTTACACCTCTCTGTCCATTCATGTCCTCCCAAGTGTAGGTGCTTGCCAGGCAGGTGCTTGTGCTGCTGAGCTATAACCCCAGCCCGCTTTTCTTTTTCTAGAAGCTTGAGTTTCAACATTAAGCTGTTTATTTTAGTTTGTTCTGTTTTCCCAGTATTCACTGCTATAAATTTCTCCCATAAGACTGCTTTCATTGTACCCTACGAGTTCTAGTATATTGTATCACATTGTCATTTAATTTAGAAACTAACTTTTTTATTTCATCTGTGACCCATTTTGTTCAGTAAG